CTATAAAAAATTTTTTTAATGTAAAATGTGAACCAAAATTTTTAAACGTTTTAATAATTTATGATATAATTATTACACAAAGTAAATATACAATTACCTGTCTTCAGTTTCGATAATTTTCTATATAATGTTTCTGCATCAGGCCTATTTTCTGGAGTTGCATCCCAACATTCTTTCATCAATGTTGCATATTCAGGCGGTGTCCCTTTTACAATTTCTGGTCTTATTCCTTCGAGAATGACGGTCTTAAGATTTATATTATCTTGATTATCGAATGGTGGCATTCCAGCTGAAATTTCCCACATTATCATACCCATACAATAAATATCTGTTTCATATGTATATGATTGATTTCGCAATGTTTCTGGTGCCATATAGGGATGCATGCTTTGAATTTCATTAGAAGGCTCATTAATAGGCCCACAAAAAGTCAAGCCACTAATCTTCATCTTAATTACACGATTGTTAAATAATTGAATCAAAATATGGTCAGGATGTAAATCTCTATGTAAATATCCTGCTTTATGAATGACATTTAATGAAAATGATATTATTTCTACATATTTCAATCTCTGTTCCCAAGTAACTATGTGATTGTTATCTCTTAAAAATGAACGTAAATCTGTATCCATTTTTTCCATAACTAGCATAAAATTTAAAGTTTCTGGGTTCATAGTTATTCCGAAACATTGTACAAGGTATTGTCGAGTATTATCAATTAAAAAATGTGATTTGATCTATAATAAGTTGCAGAAAAAATCTTTAATAATCATATAGATGATGTAAAATAAATAAATATACCAACCGTTTGAATCGATCCACTATTGTAATTATTGAAATCTTTTAGCCTTTTAAGAACTACTGGATGCCCACCATGTCTTTCTAATAATTGCTTTTCAATATTCCAATTAGCAAAGGATCCATTATTCCAAAATGCGGTATGTATAGAGTTTTCAGTTAAGCGTTGAACACATTTAAAACTGTCGAAAGGTATCCATTCAATCACTCTGTGTGGTTGTTGCGTTTGTAATTGACAATTTTGAATTATTTTATCTACTATTGCGTTTCCGGAAGTCCAATCCTTGAAGTGCTGTTGTAAATAATTACGAATACAATGTTCACAGTACCATTTAGCATGTGTCAAATTTTTGCATATTTCACATTGACGTTTTTCGCCGCTATGTTCATGAGCATTAACTTCATCCTCAATTTTTTGGAGATAATCAAATAAGTATTCTTTTTGATTTTGTTTAAGTGTTTTGTCGTAAAGTAATTTTTGCTGAATAGATTTTTTCAATTGTTCAGTCGATGTAAATGAACCTTCATTCAAAGATGATTTAAGTATAGTTCCTAATACGCTTATCATTTCTTTAGAACCGATAGCTGCCTTCTTACGTTCTCTTTCCTTTTGAGAAAGAATATTAAGTAAACTAAACATTTCATCTTCATTGAGAGACTCGTTATCAGGAAGATTTTTATTGAACGATTCAATTCCTTGTAAATCTGGATTTAGATTTTCTTCAATATATTTTTTCCAAACTTTTTTGATTTTCTCGATAGATAGTGATTGTTTTTCATATTTTTGAAATTTATTTATTAGCTTTAAAAATTCATTTGTGTTAAGTTTATCACTATAAAAAAGCTGTTTTAAAAATTCCTCTCCTTCTTTAAATACAGGAATGGATTGTTTCCAACAAGCCTTTAGGGCTTGCTTCCATACTTCTTCAACCTTTATGTCATCAGCAATTGCATCCGGCTTTAGTATCTTATCAATAAATTGAATTCCACTTAATAAGTGAAACAATTCTATCGCTTCTATCAAGCTTTCATCCCTAAACATTGACAATAAAAAAAATAGTCCTGTTTGTGTGATGAAAATGTTCGTTCAACGAATAGATTAATTAAGTTATTCCATATTTTCTTTATTTGATTTACATTATCATTGTTAGTCACAAATTTATCATCAATAGTTAAGTAAGTCATCTATCTCAACTTCTTTTAACAGATCATCTTTACAGAAGGTTGCAATTAAAAAATTATGTATTTCTTTTATATTTGAAACTATTTTTGTTTCCGGTTTCAAATTTTGTTGCTCTACTATCTCATTGTACCATTTATTAAGCATTATTATCCACTTTTTTTGCAAATAATCTTTATAAAACTTTTTAAAGTCTGCAGTCTCTATTCGAACAAATAAATTATTTCTTTGGAGCAGTATTTTAATTTTAATTTCAGTGTTTATATTATTATTAAGAATGTCTAATTTAATTAGAGTGAAATTCTTGCGGAGTGCACCTTCTAATGCTTTTCTTCCTTCTGATCCAAGATTATTAGAATTAAGTTTCAAATCTTTCAGCGTGATGTTTTTGCAAAGTGCATTTGCTAATGCTTTTCCTCCTTCTGATCTGTTAAAAGAAGTTGAGATAGATGACTTACTTAACTATTGATGAT